TAAATTATATATATAGTTGTTGTTGTTAAATGTCATCAAGTTGATTCTGACTCATAGAGTTTCCAAGGAGAAGCTGGTGAGTTTGAACTGCTGACATTGTGGTTCAAACCGACTTTGCAGTACAGTGCTTTATCCCACAGCACCACACCAGGACTGTGTTATATATATATACAGCTGAAAGAGTTTAAACTGACTCAATGGCACTTAACAACCATCATTGCAGTCCAGTGTTTATCCCACAGCACCACGCCAGGACTCTTTATGGGTATGTTGTTGTTAAGTGCTGTTGAGTCAGTTCCGACCTGCAGTGGTCCTGTACAGGGTTTCCTAGGAGCAGTTGGTGAGCTTGAATCGCTGACCTTGCGCTTCAAACCCACTTTGCAGTCCAGTGCACTTACCCACAGTGCCACACCAGGACTTAATATGCATATATATGGTGGTTGGTGGTTATGTGCCGTGGAGTCGGTTCCGACTCATAGAGACCCTGTACGGGTTTCCGAGACTGTAAATCTTTACAGGAGCAGAAAGCCTCATCTTTCTCCCACGGAACAGCTGGTAGTTTCCAACTGGTGTCCCTGAGGTTAGCAGCCCGATCCGTAACCACTATGCTACCAGAGCGCCATATATATCTCGAGTCAGTTCTGACTCATAGCAACCCTGTATAAGGATGCCCAGGAACAGCTGGTGGGTTTAAACTGACAACCTTGCAATTCAAACGATTGTTGTGTCCCACTGTTTTATTCTACAGCGCCACACCAGGACGCATATATACAAAAGGCACAATATGTTCTATTTTGTATATATGGGTCCTGGTTTGAATTGCAGGGTTGGCAGTTTAAACCCACCAGCCGCTCCTATACAGGGTTGCTATGAGCCCAAACTGACTCCATGGCACTTACCAACAGCAATGCATCTTATGTATTTATGTATGTATGTACTTGTATTTGTGTATATAGTATATAAATGTACATACTATTTATATATCTGTGTATGTGTAAATAGTATATATATATGTGTATATATAATCTTCATGAAGTCTTGCTGTAGGATAAGCACTGGACCCCAAGGTCAGTTTGAACCACAAGACCAGCAGTTCGAATTCAGCGGCTGCTCCTCTTCGGAGACCCTTGATAGGGTTGCTATGAGTCAGAACCGACTCACTGGCACTTAACAGCACCAACAACAATCTATATTTATGGTTATATAGCATTTATATTTTAGATATTATGTATATATGTATTGTTTTTAAATAGCGCTGCTATTGAATTGACTAACTTATAACAACCCCATGGGTGTCAGTGTAGAACTTTACTCCATAGGGTTTTTAATGGCGTTGTTGTTGTTGTTGTTGTTGTTGTTGCTAAGTGCTGTCTAATTGGTTCTGACTCATAGCAACCCTGTGTAGGGTTTCTGAAGAGTAGCTGGTGTCTTTGACCTTGTGATTGAAATGACCTTGCGGTCCAGTGCTTACCCTACAACGTCACTCCAGGACTCCTCTAATGGCTATAATCTTACGTGAGTGAATATCAGGGCTTTATCCAGTGGTGTCAGTGAGTGGATTTCAGTTAGTAGCTGAACACCACCCAGTTGCCTCTATTTGCGTATACATCTATATAGGTACATATACGCACTCACTCACATATATGTACATACATATATGCGAGAAGGCGTCAAAAAGTTGGTAGAAAAATGGAATTCAAAGATGATGGAATTGTTCACGGATTTTTTGCCGTCCTCTCATATGGGTAGATGCACATTCATATATATAAATGTGTATGTGTTTTTGTGTATGTTAAAATGATTGCCATTGAGTTGATTCCTATTCACAGTAATCCGGTGGTGGTGGTGTTTGTTAAATGCCATTGAATCAGTTCCAACTCATAGCGACCCTGTATAGGATTTCCAAGAAGCAGCTGATACGTTTGAAATGCTGTCCTTGCAGTTAGCAGTCTGGTATTTATCCCACAGCACCTCACCAGGACTCCATAGTGACCCAATAGGACAAAGTAAAACTGCCCTATAGGGTTTCCAAAGCTGTAATTCTTTACGAAAGCAGACTGCCTCATCTGTCTCCCTCGAAGCAGCTTGTGGGTACAAACTGCTATTGTTTCAGCTTACAATTGAGCACTTAATTACTGGGACAATGTTGTTGTTGTTGTTAAGTGCCGTGGTGTCGGTTCTGACTCATAGTGACCCTGTATAGGGTTTCTGAGTAGCAGCTGGTGGATTTGAACCACCAACCTCGCTGTTCAAACTGACACTGCAGTTGAGTGCTTATCTTGTAGCACCACACCTTAAATGTACGTGTGTACACACACACACATGTATAGTTAAACATGGAGAGTAAGGGTCAGAGTTGTCTGAGCAAGTCTATTTTGCTGTTCAAAAAAATAAGGCAAAACAAAACAAAAATGGCATTAATGAAGCGCAGCCAGAAATGGCTAGTTTTGCCGCTGGAATCTCTGTGATTTTGCAGTCGGATTATATTGCATTCCCAGAATAGCAACCGGAGAAGGACAGAGACCAAACAGAGCTCCAGATTTTCCTTACACTAAAAAGTCTTTTAAAAGAGAAAACAAAATATTCTATTTTTTAATGTTAACAAAGGAGAGAGAGCAAGAAAAAACCCCGCTATTACTTTGAAGGCTGGGGAGGATATACTCCTCAGTGCTTCTAGTTCAAAAGAGAAGAATTTGCAAATTGCATGTATTTGATTTTATCCTTAATCATGAATTCCCAGCAAGAGAAATGAAAACTTGCCATGGTTTATCAATGAAATGAAAAAAATAAGCTGTGGTACGTGAAGGGTGCACTGCTTAAAATTCCCAATGTTTAGCACAAGGAACAATAGCGCTTGGCTACAGACTGCCTTCTGAAAATCTATGCTGTGTATCCACACACCTTTCAAATTCGTGCTGATCGACCCAGGCAAAGTGTCCTCACTAAGCATCCTCTTCCCATACTTCCCCAGGAGTACCTAGGATTTAAACTAATGTTGACAAAAGAAATAAAATTTCATCTAGAGCATGCATTCTTAAGTGTAAATGATGTGTCCATCATTTTCCGTAAAGATGACAGCGTTGGAAGCCCTATGGGCGGTTCTACTCTGTTTTATAGGATTGTTATTAATCAGAATCGACTCGTCAGCATCATGTTTGGGTTTCAGGGTTGTTGTTTTTAATAGTGGTTCTCAGCCATGGGCCATTTTGCCTCCCAGGGACACTTGGCTATGTGTAGGGACATTTTTGGTTGACAGAACAGAAGGTAGAAAAGGGTTTCTCTGGCGTTTAGTGGGTAGAAGACAGGCATGCTGCTAAACATCCTGCAATACATAGGACAGCCCCCACCACCAAGAATGATCTGGCTACAAGAAGCTCTGACCTAGAGAAACTTACCCAGATAATCTCTCCCATTTTAAAATTGGATAGATACATGAATGGAAGGGGAGAGGTAGATGGTAGGATCTATAGAGATAGATATAGCAGTGGCCGTGGTGGTGGTTGTAGGCCACTGAGTCAGTTCCGACTCATAACAACCCTGTATAGGGTTTCCAAGGCTATAAATCTTTATGGGAACTGAAAGCTGCATCTTTCTCCCTGGAAATGGCTGGTAGATTTGACTACTGATCTTGCAGTGAGCAGCCCAGCTTATAATCCGCTACGCTACCAGGAGTCCTGGTGTGGTACCATGGGATAATGCACTAGACCTCAAGGTTGATTTGAATTGCAAGGTCAGTAGTTCGAAGTCACCAGCCACTCCTTGGAAACCCTATTACATGGTAACTGTGAGTCAGAACCGGCTTGACAGCGCTTAACAACAACAACCCGAATTTCTTGGCTATAGTAAATATAGGTAAACATAAGTCCCAAGTCTTTTAAATGCTTATATTCTTATTAAGGCAATTCCGCATATAGATATTACTCTTAAAATAGTTCTCAGTCAAGCTCACAAAATGTTCTTTTGAAGATATTCCTTGCGGGTTAATGTGCTGGAACAACAAGGTTGGCAGTTCAATCTCACCAGCTGCTATTTGGAGTCCCTATACAGGGTCGCTAAGGAGCTCTGGTAGCGTAGTGGTTACGAATCGGGCTGCGAACCTTAAGGCCAACAGTTCGAAACTACCAGCCGCTCTGCAGGAGAAAGATGAGGCATTCTGCTCCCGTAAAGATTTACAGCCTCGTAAACCCTGTACAGGGTCGCTATGGGTCGGAACCGACTCGACGGCACTTAACAACAACAACAACAACATACAGGGTCGCTATGGGTTGGAACAGACCCAACAGCACTTAACAACAGCAACAACAACATTATTTATAATAATAGACAACTGAAAGCAATGTAAATGCCCGTCAGTTGGCTGTGGTTAAAATTAATCATATTAACCCATGCAATGGGTGGGACCTATGTTGTTGTTAAGTGCCATTGAGATGGTTCTGACTCAGAGCCATTTTCCAAGAAGTGACAGATGGATTTGAGTCCAGTGTTTATTCTACAACGTCGCACTAGGACTCCTAGGGACCAATACGGATAATGATACAGGATTTATTGAAGTGGAAAGATGAATGCAATATACAATTAAAAACAATAAGCATGTTACAAAATAACATAATGACTATGGTCCCAGTTTTAAAATATAGATATATGAGGGGGTTTCAGAAAGTTTGTGGAAAAAAATCCACTAGTTTTTCATTCCACTTTTTCATGAACTCTTTGTAGCCCAATGCTCGTAAGGGAGCTTCAGAAATTTCATGGAATTAGAGGCTAATGGAATTTTCCCATGAACTTTTTGAAGTTCCCTCGTATATATGCTACAACTGCTGCGTATTTCTACCCTGTCCTTGGAATGGCTCTTAGTTAGAACCTTCTGATAGTCTTCACGGATTCGGACAGAAAGACTGTGCTCCCTGTTGAAAAAAAGTAAATGGACAGGAGAAAAGTTTAATTGATTAGCAATCCATCCTACAAAAAGAACAACCATCCTGTGTTCTCTCCTCCCACAGGTCACTGGGAACAAAATGACATCTCTGAACTTGGCCACCATCTTTGGCCCCAACTTGCTGCACAAGCAGAAGTCATCTGACAAAGAGTTCTCGGTCCAGAGTTCAGCTCGCGCTGAGGAGAGCACTGCCATCATTGCTGTGGTACAGAAAATGATAGAAAACTATGAAACTCTCTTCATGGTAGGTGACCCTCCTTCGGGGTGACGTCGTGGTGAATTGCCTTTCTGTTGCTTTGTGGCTGCATAAGGAAACTTAAATATCTTCCCTTCTGGTCTCCAATGAAGTCATGGGAAGCTAGACAATTCTGATAGGAATCAAAACTTCCAAAACACTTAATTTCACTGTAAGTTGTGAGTCCCCTTTTAAACAGACATACCCAGAATTGATCAATTTTAACTTAGTTGCCCCTCATCAATCAATGGCCATTCTTTGCAGTCATTGACTTATTCATTTAACAATGTTGTGCTCAGAATGTTGTGGAAACCCTTTCTTTGGGGTTCTATGTATGACCCTCATGTATTCTTGTGACCATCCTCTGATGATCCAAGAGCAACCTTGACGTATCACCTCCCGCGTGGAACTGCGCCGGTCCTTCCTTAGTCCTTCCTACACCACTTCCTGTATTGCTTCTCTGTACCTTGAACTCGACTACTTTGCTTCGTGGTATTTATCTGACTCAACATTGTGTTACGGTCATTGGCAACTAATTCCCCTAGTAGATCCAAAACTCATTTCAAACCAGGGCTGTGCCCCTTTTATCTCCTCTCTGTTAGCCTCTGTACACTTTTGGAAGGCATTCCATCTGGCAGTCATTCAATAAATATTTTTTTGATTTGTATTGAATAACCAGTTCCTGTTTTCCTTCATAATACTGCATCGTTTGCTCCAACTTCCCTTGAAACATTAGAACATAGGACAACTCTCTTCTATTTCTGTTCACCACTGAAACTGTATGTCAGAACACACAGAAACTTTTCCCAGGTTCCTTCTTCCATTTCTTTTGACAGTTTGCAAACCCTCACCATATAGCCTGCCTCCTCCCATCCTATACCACTCAAGCCTTTTGTGACTTCTTCATCGGAGTGTGTTTGTTCCCCATTTTCTATCCGCTAAATGTTCTGTCTAGATTCATCAAGTGCCTCACGTGAGATTTATTTACATACTTGTCAGATCCCAATTCTACTGTGTACATTTGAGAGCCAATCAGAGTCCTTGCCCTCTATGCCTGACCTATGTGACTGGGAGCAAGTATTTTAATGTTCAATAGTATCAATTTCAGCTTCTGTGAAATGGGAGAAATGAATAATCACAAGGTGATTTCCAGAGTCTGTTGATAACTGGAAGCATTCTGCAAACTAAAATTCGATGCATGTGTTTATGAATAAGCGTCTTAGTTATGGTAACACAAGCTGCCTCAATCTCAATATTTCAACACAAGACATACAAATATCATGCTGGCAGAAAGTTGAATCAGATATTGGCTTCCGGGTGGGAATAGAAGACCCCTTGAGGTTCTGCCCTAGGATTTTATGGACTAAACTTAGGAGGGGTATCCATCACATCTGCTCGAATCCCATTGGCCAGAGTTCACTGAGAAGCCACAAGTAGCTGCAAGGGAAGCTGGGTGCCCAGGAGGAAGAGGAAGTGAATTGTTCACAGTGCCAAGTGCAGTGAGGTTGTGTCTCTGAAGCACTGTCTCAGTATTGCACACAATATGCTCAGAAAAAACGCATGGAGTCACTGACATGATAGAAATTTCGCACGTCAGCCAAAATCCTCATAATTCTTTACATATTTGGATGAATCAAATGTTTGAACTTTTCAACAGTTTCCTCAAGTTTTAAGTCATGTCTTATCTTGCCAAGTAGTCTTGGCATCGTTTCATGTTCTCTAGTTTTTTGTTCTAACAAAATAAAATAAGTACCTTTCCTCTATCCTAATTCCAGTCTCTAAGTTCTGTCTTCTAAGCAAAGTTCTCCTACATATCTCTCCTTCCACAAACCATAAGGCATTTCTTTTCCTCTCAGATACTGACAAGACACTTCCTGGACTCCTGGAAAGTACAGCTGCTGCCATTTTGACTGTGACATCGCTTTCCTCACTGTTCCCTATCTCCTTTGTGCATTACTAAGAAGATCAGTTGTTGCTGTTAGGGCCGACTAAGTGTGACCCCATTCACAATGGACAGAACACTGCCCGGGGCTGCACCGTCCCTGAGATCACTTTCGGACTCGACCATTATGATCATTTCATGCTCTCTGGCTTTTTGTCCTGACAAAATCAATTAGATCTTAATTCCATTCCATTCCATTTCCGTTGGCTGATTTCTGGAAGTCGGCTATCAAAGATAAACTTTCTTCCTAGTTTATCTTTGTTCTGTTGAAACTTCTTCAGCATCCTACCAACACACAAGCCTTCACTGACAGACTAGCAGAGCGTAAACAGTGATATTCATCCTTTCCCTGTAGTTTTCAAATCTGATCTTGATTTGCAGTTCTCGGTAGGGACTGATGTTGACAATGTTTTGGGCAGTAGCTCATATTTGTGTTACCTATTTGTGGTCTTTACTTCTTACCAATGCCCTCCTTAACCACTTTCTCTAATGTCACAAACCTTACATACGCCTACGTTTGCTCCCTTCTTTCCCTGTTCTGTCTCTCTCATTATGACTCATCACTAATAGAGAGTACAAATGTCTCCCTAGGAGCTCTGGTAGCATAGTGGTTATGAATTGGTCTGGGAGCCACAAGGTCAGCAGTTCGAAACCACCAGCTGTTCCACAGGAGAAAGCTGAGGCTTTCTGCTCCAGTAAAGATTTACAGCCTTGGAAACCCTGTACAGGGCCGCTATGAGTCGGAACCGACTCCACGGCACATAACAACAACAACAACAACAATGTCTCCCTACTAGGGTCTTACTAGTCTTCCATTAGGATCCTACCAATGTCTTCCCGCTGTTGTTGTTAGGTGCTGGTGAGTTGGTTCTGAATCATAGCAACAACAGAATCTGCGCACAACAGAATGAAATACTGCCTGGTCCAGAACCATCATGACAATTGTTGTGTTTGAGCCCCTTTGTTGCAGCCTCTGTTCAGTCCATCTCACTGAGGATCTTCCTCTTTTTCATTGATCCTCCACTTTACCTGGCATGTCTTTCTACAGGGATTGGTCCTTCCTGACCACATGTCCAAAGTAAGAGAGACAAAGCCTAGCCACCATCGCATCTAAGGAGCATTCTGGCTGTACTTCTAAGACAGATTTGTTTGTTCTTCTGACAATTCCTGGTACTTTCAATATTCTTCTCTTAACACTATAATTCAAATGCACTGATTCTTCTACGGTTGTCCTTAGTCATTGCCCAACAATCAAAAATACCATGGCTTGGGTCAGGCGCACCTTAGTCCTCAAAGGGACATCTTTGCTCTTTAACACTTAAAAGAGGTTTTTTGCAGCAGAAATATATTTAATCTGTTGATTGTTGCTTCCATGGGTGTAGATTGATGATCCAAGTAAAATGAAATCCATACTAACTTCAAGCTTTCCTTTGTTATCATGATGTTTATTGGTCCAGTTGTGGTTTCCCGACTATGGCCCTATTAATGTCTTCCCACTAGAATGTCAACTCCAGGATGAATTTTGGGTTTTGCCATCTTATTTTTTTGACTGCATCGCTTCTGTGTCTGGCACATGGTAGGAGCAAAATAGATAGTAGTTCAACTCCTGAGTGACCCCATGTTAGTTCTAGTTGATATGATTTCCATGGTACCCATCATGATTCCTTAAACAAAGGTAAAGGTGTGGGTATGGAGGGATTCTGAGTAATTGTTGTCAGAACCGCCTTAATCTCCTTGAAGTGATGGTAGGAATTGTATACTGAGAAAAAGGACAGTGATGTGGGCTGAAAGGTGTGCCAAAGATTCCAAGCCTGGATTGGTAGAAAGAATACTGCTGTAGAACCAGAAAATGTTTATAATCCGACTTCTGCTACTAAAGTCCTGGTGTGGCACTCCCCGGAAACCCTATAACAGGGTCACTATGAGTCGGGACCAATTCAAAGGCACTTAACAACGATGAACTTCTGCTATGCATTAGCTATGTGACCCCATCTCCTAAGTTTTCTATTTTTTAATATCAAAGGGCTAGGTTCGAATGAATGATATCCAAGAACATTTCTAGGTCTAAAAATTATGTCGTTTTCTGTCCTAATATGGACTTGTTTATTCCAGAAAGCACAGAAGCACTTTTTGTTTCTTTGGGCATATTTGGCATTTCAAAATCAACTTTGTTATACCAAGGCTGGTGATTGACTGGCAGAGCTGTCCTGTGTGGGTGGACAAACATTTCGTCATGTATATAGGTGGTATTTTGGCCTTTATTTTTGTTTTAAAGGAGCTTCCAGAATTATGGTGATCGTTCCAAACAATGAAAAATCATGCCAGACAGGATCTGAAGGTTAAAAGTCATTAGTAGTTGTGGAACTTCACCATCCTTGGAAGGATTTATGAGCGTGGAAAAGGGGACCATCATTGTCCCTTGGCGTTAGAAGGGAGACGTGCTAGTGAAGTTGATTGTGAAACATGTGCTTGAAGGCAGAATGCCCCCTGGAAGCAGCAATGCCACAGAAGACTTGATGGAAGAGATGTAGTAACGCACAGAGGACTGGCAAGAACCCGGCATTGGTTCTGACTGTTCTAATGTCATTTTATTTCCTGACGTAGTGGGTAAGGATAAGGAAGAACCGCGCTTTGCGTCATAGTTCAGAAGAATCATCTGGATTCAGGAGTTGACACCAGTTCAAGAGTCTGACTGGGATTTAGCTTTGGACATTGCTTGTTTACTTTTCAGGCACTGGTTTGGCACTGCTAGATCTGGAAATATAAAAGGCATCATGATCACTTTACCAAAGGACCCAGGCAATAGACAATAACAGTGGTTGGTGGTGATGGTATGCCGAGGAGTTGACTCCAACTCATAGTGACCCTGCACAGGGTTTCCGAGGCTGTAAATCTTTACGGGAGCAGAAAGTATCATCTTTTTCCCATGGAATGGCTGGTAGTTTCGAACTGCTGACCTTGAGGTTAGCAGCCTGACTCGTAACCACTACGTGCCCAGAGTTCCTTGTAGATGATAATAGAGTTACAGGAAACCTAGACATCCAGATTCCTAGAGAATCTGTTTCAG